GGCAGTGCCTTTCTTTGGGATTGGAGCAAAAGCTGACCTTTTCCAGTCCTGTGGCCACTGCTGAGCTTTCCAAATTTGCTGACATATTGAGTGCAGCACTTTCACAGCGTCATCTTTTAGGATTTGAAATAGCTCAACTAGAATTCTATCACTCCACTAGCTTTGCTTGTAGTGATGTTTCTTAAGGCCCACTTGACTTTGCGTTCCAAGATACCTGGCTCTAGATGAGTGATCACACCATTGTGGTTATTTGGGTCATGAAGATCTTTTTTGTATAATTTTTCCGGTGTATTCTTGCCACCTCTTCTTAATATCTTCTGCTTCTGTTAGGTCCATACAATTTCTGTCCTTTATTGTGCCCATCTTTGCATGAAATGTTCCCTTGGCATCTCTGATTTTCTTGAAGAGATCTGGTTGCTTCTATATCTTAGTAATTGTAAATAATGCTGGTATAACATTGAGGTACATGTATCTCGAATTTGTGGGGGTTTTTTGAGGGGAGTATATACCCAGGAATGGAATTGCTGGATCATTTAGTAGCTCTATTTTTAGTTTTCTAAGGAACTTCCATACAGTTTTCCACAGTGGCTGTTTACATTCCCACCAACAATGTACACCAGCTCATTTATCTTAAGTCCTGTGTGAAAGCATTTGTATTTGTTCTTTAGACTATGAGGGAACTTCCTCGCCACACATTGGGACTTTAGCCAAATGTTTAACAGTAGGAAAATTCCATTCAGTTTTCTATTCCATTAGTGATGCTTGAGAGCAGGGTCTCAATATCAGCACTATTGACATTGGCCCTGACGGTTCTTTGTCGCAGGGGCAGTCCAGTGCATCATAAATGTTTAGCAGCATCCCAGGCATCTACCCAACACATCTCTTCCAGTTGTGACAATCTTTTTAGACATTTAAACCTCCCATCCTCTGGGGGTGGGGGTAGGGAAGAAGTGGCAAAATTGCCCCCTGGTGAGAACTCCTGCCTCACAGACAAAAGGAAATCGTTGAAAGTTTTTGAGCAAGGAAGTAAGGTATGATTATCATCAAAAATCACTTTGTTGGTGATTTATCATCAAAAATCACTTGATTGGTGATGCTAAGAACAGGAGTGGTCAAGGCCAAGATATGCTTGCTGAGCAAATAGTATCTTTTTAATCATCCCTAACCATGTACAAGGCAGTGTCATAACATTATCTCATTCATCGCCAGGGCCATCTTCTGTGGAAGGTAGGGGAGACTATGTTTCACTGATGAAGTGTACACACAGAGGAAGAGGCTACTCTGGGGAGCCTTCAGGTTGAAGAATAACAGTATGGAAAGTGGGGAGGGTCCTTTGCCACAGAGTCTAGGACTTTCTTTTCAGAGCAGGAATCCTGTAGAAAATATTTGGATCAATAATAATAGATACTGCAACTGAAATTAAGAGCTAACCATGTGCTGTGTGTCTCATAGATACACTCACTTAAGGCTCTCAACAGGCCCCTGTGAGCAGGTACTATTATTATTTCCAGTTTACAAAGTCAAAGACTAAAGTCTAAGTGGTCAGGTCACGTGTTCAAGGTCACTCAGTGATCAGAGATGGGATTTTAACCAGGACTGCTGGGCTGACTCCAGAGCCCCTGTTTATGACTATGCGCTTGTGTTCTAAGTTGCTTCAGTCATGTCCAACTCTTTGTGACCCCATGCGCTATAGCCAAGATCCTCTGTCCATGGGATTCTCCAGGCAAGAATGCTGGAGTGGGTTGCCAAGCTCTCCTACAGGGGATCTTCCCAATCCTGCGTCTCATGCCTCCTGCATTGGCAGGCAGGTTCTTTACCACTAGTGCCAGCTGAGAAGCCCGTTTATAACCATCGCAACATCCTAAACTAGTTCCCAGCATGTGAGAGAACAGAGGCACTACAGTTTCCAAACCTCTTCCACTTCATTGTCAGCACTTATACTTAAGTGAGGCCTTAGTTCCATTTTACTGATGAAGATACAAACTAGAATACAAGTGTTAAACCAAAACTGGAAATCAGAATGGTTTGATTCTTTATACAGGACATTGCGTGATCCTGACCAGGATATGGAATAGAATATTATGGTAGGTCTCAAAGTCAGAGATAAGATTTTAGCTATTACAATCTCATGCTTTAGAAGAAAATTAGTATTTTGCCCATCTTCTATGTTGGGTGCTGTGATAAAAAGCTTTGTGCACATCATCTATATAATCTTGACAAGAGTCCTAGGGCAAAGAGTGTAATTATCCCAACTTTCAGATCAGGTCATTGAGGTTTGGTGAGATTGATGTCCATCACGAACGGCAAAGTCAGGACTCAAACTCAAATATGTCTTGTGCCAAAGCACACACTCCTACACTGGGCTTTCTGGGTCAATTTATCTTTTACCTTACAAGGTAGGTATTATTATCTGATGCTTGCAAATTAGGGAAAGAAAGAAAAGCCAGAGCGGTGAGGTGACTTCTCCCAAACACGAGACCACCAGCTGGGGGACCTAAGAGCCAGTTTCTGGTTGACTGTGTGCAGAATCCGTACTCCTCACCCTGGACACTTGGGTCCCAGCTCTATGAGAACTCTTGGGAACACAAAACCGACTCCTCCAGTATTGCTGTCTGTGTGAGTCAGCCTAGGGAGCATGGGGACTGTAACTCTCAGGGAAAGTTACTCAACATTGTTGGGACAATCTGTTCTCCCCAAAAGCTGACTTCTCTTAACCGTGACATGAACTGAATAAGTGAAGCCACTCTTCAGAGGTGTGGACTCTAGAAGCTTCCAGGCTGCTGTGGATCAGAACCTGAAGGCCATTTGAACATCTACTCCGTTGCTCGTCCAGGGTATGAGGGGAACCAGGTCAGGAGGGAGGTGGCCTTAGGGACCCCAAATGTCCGTGACGGGACCAGCCTGAGAAGAGACGCCTGCCCAGCTTTAGCCAAGTCCAGTGGGTTCTGTGCCAACAATTCCAGGAGACACCATGCGATGGACATTTAGATGCACTGCTGGGCCTTCAGCAGCCTGAATTATGCTCCAAGCAAGAGACAGGGTTCAATGAGGAAGGGATCAAAGATTGGAATAGAACTTGGGTTCTAGAACACCTGGGCCTGGTGGGTTTCCACGGAAGCCCCACGTTACCTCTTAAGCAGCTGAAAGTGTCCAGTGAGTTATTCTGGTGGAGGAAAGAGGTCAGGGAGCCCACCATTAAACTCTAGTCTCTTCCCACCCCAATTGTTTCCATCATGGTTTACAAATAAATATAGATTAAAAACAGCATAATTAAGATTTTAATTCCATTGTTTAATGGAATTAAAGGCAACTAAGCACACACATTTATGACCAACCTAGATAGCATATTAAAAAGCAGAGACGTTACTTTGCCAACAAATGTCCGTCTAGTCCAGGCTATGGTTTTTCCAGTGCTCATGTATGAATGTGAGAGTTGGAATGTGAAGAAAGCTGAGCGCCAAAGAATTGATGCTTTTGAACTGTGGTGTTGGAGGTGACTCTTGAGCGTCCCTTGGACTGCAAAGAGATCCAACCAGTCCATCCTAAAGGAGATCAGTCCTGGGTGTTCATTGGAAGGACTGATTTTGAAGTTGAAACTCCAATACTTTGGCCACCTGATGCAAAGGGCTGACTCATTGGAAAAGACACTGATACTGGGAGGGACTGTGGGCAGGAGGAGAAGGGGACGACAGAGGATGAGATGACTGGATGGTATCACCGACTCGATGGACATGAGTTTGAGTAAACTCCGGGAGTTGGTGATGGACAGGGAGGCCTGAGGGGAGCTTCCTGACCCAGGGATCGAAACTGCGCCTCCTGTGGCAACTGCATTGCAGGCAGATTCTTTGCCACTGAGCTACTGGGAAGCCCCTACATGTGCGCACTGCATGCCAGATCCTGAGTCAGGTTCTGGTGTTGTGAAGGCGGTGAGGAGGCACGCCATGTGCAGCTGTTCAGGTTGTACATTCCATGACGCTACGGGGCACAGAAGTGTGTGTCTATCAAGTTCTGTTCCTGCAGGTGCTGGAAGGTGACTTGAAGAAGATGGGCTGGCTGTGATGTCAGTTAGACACGGTTTCTGCCCTCAATGAGCTCACATCCAGCAGACAGTAGGCTGTAAGACACTAGGAGATCACAGGCTAGAAGCTGGAAGAGGCTCTCTCTGTTTCCCTTTTGGGAGCAGGCTACATAGGTAGCGTTAGAGATGATGGAAACATCTTCGGTGCCCTCTGGTCTCCTCATTGCTATTGCTGCGTGTGCCTAGTCGTTCGGTCGTGTCTGACTCCACGGTCCCGTGGACACAGCCCATCAGGCTCCTCTGTCCGTGGGGTCCTCTAGGCAAGAATACTGGAGTGGGTAGCCGTGGCTGGGATTGAACCCAGGTCTCCTTATTGCAGGTGGATCCTTTACCGTCTGAGCCACCAGGGAAGCCTGTTATTATTCCTAGTTAAAGACAAAAATTCCATTCTTTTACCAATACCAGAATCCATTACCACCTCCCACGGACTCCCACGACCCAAGTATCTTCCCCCATCAAAAGAACATCTTCTCTAACCTAAATAGGAAAATAATTTGAAGAATATATGTATGTATAACTGAATCACTTTGCTGTATACCTAAAACTAACATAACATTGTTAAACCAACTATGCTCCAATACAAAATATAAATTGGAAATTAAAAAAGAACATCTTCTCTTGTCCTTATACTCCATGGCCCCCAATCAGGACAAGGCTATTAGTACTCATCATTCTTAGGAGTAAAAAAGCAAAAAACAAAAAAACCAAGCTGACTCTGAAAGACAATGTTTCTTCCCAATCTCTCCAGAGGCTACCCTGGGGCAACGCTGGCTATGCCCAGCTTAGACTTGGGGCATCTAACTGTGCGATTCACGGTTTCAGGACCCCTGCCTCAACCCCTATTCGTAACCACCAGTACCTTTTCTCCTGCATCTAAGATAACTTCCCTGCAGCATAATAATTCACCCTATGCTCCAAACAGTGCCAATATCACATATGTTACTTTATTATTCATTCATTGGCTTTCCAAGGCAAGTGAAAAAATAATTTAAACCAATTATATGTACAGAGGCTTGGTTAGTTTTCCCAATAACTTCCAGAAAGAACCCCATCCCCTTAGATAGCAAAGAAGGGTTACATTTAACATCTATACAAAACTTCACCTATAAAAGTCACATGTGTAGAAAGGTTTCTTTATTATAAGCATCACGTCTGGGGAATGGGTAGGGGTCAGGGCGGGAGGTGGAGGAACATGTGCAGGGTGGGGGTCCACACACATCTGCCCGGGCTAGTCCTGTGCAGGGAGGCTGGTGGCTGGTGGGGCTCAGGTGATCTGCAGTGGGGTCTCCAACATCTCCATGAGGAAGGTGTCAATGGGTGTGTCCCCGATGAGCTTGAAGAAGAAGAGGTGCTCCAGGCACTTCAAGCCGATAGAACGCAGGGCTGGGAGACGCAGCAGCAGCTTGGCAAACCTGCAGGGAAGCGAGGAGACCGTAAGAACTGGGAGGCCAGCATGCACGGGGCAGCTGCTGGCACGAGGCCGCTTGTTTGGTCCTCTTGACCAGTCTGTGGTCAGAAGAAAGAACCTGAGAGGGGAATCTATCGTAGCCGGAGAATCTCTAATCTGGGGGAGTTTCAGAAATAGGCTTGAGGGTCTCATTTAGCTTCCTTAGATGGAAGTTGGATCCTGTGACCTCTTGAGGAACTCGTGACTTCTGTGGTCACATCCCAGAATTGCCCTCAGCACCCCCATTCATGGCAGGTGAGAGCCAGTCTGCTTGCGATGAGTCAGTGCCAATCCTAACCACGAGATGTTCCTTACGCTCTTTGTGCCCAGAGGTTCCTGGGAAGATCTGCCCAAATGCTTAGAACGCAGCCCGCAGATGTGCTGAATCCACAGGGGTTGTCACCATCAGGGAAGGTGCTCCAGGCATTCAAGCCACTGAAGTGTGGGGCAGGGAGGGGCAGCCCCAGCTTGGTAAAGCACCATCAGGCACCGCAATAGGTTCTGGGATCCAGGGGAGCCCCTTCCCTCAGGACCAGCAGCTCTGATCACCTCCCCAGACGATGCATTTCCTCAGGACACGCTTACCTTAAGCAGCGTGGCCGCAGTGTGCCTCAGTCACATTTTTGTTACCGCTTTATAATCACTTTGTACATCAGCTTCTTAGTCGATTGCTTGCCTTTGTTTTGTTTTTTGCCTAAGAAATGTGACTTTCTTTTTTAAATTTTTTAAAAAAATTATTAAAACATAGTTGATTTACAATGCTGTGTGAGTTTCAGGTGTGTGTGGTTACTCAGTTACACATATGTACACACACATGTATATTCTTTAGCTTATTCTCTGTTATAGACCACCACAAGGCATCTAACACGGCGCCCTGCCCTGTACAGTGAGCCCTGTTGGTTATCTATTCTGTATGCAGTGGTGCACAGATGCTGAGCCCAAACTCCTAGTTTACCCCTCTCCCCCTTCCCCCTGTGGTAACCATAACTTTGCTTTCCACATCTGTGAGTCTATTTCTATTCTATAAATTCATTTCTGTCATTTTTTTAGATTCTACATATAAGCAGCATCATATGATATTTGCCGTTCTCTGTCTGACTGACTTCACTCAGTATGATAATCTCTAGCCACCATGGAGAACACGATGCAGGTTCCTTAAAACACCAAAAATAGAGTTACCATATGATCCAGCAATCCCACTCATGGGCATATATCCAGAGAAAACCATAACTCAAAAAGATATATGCACCCCAGTGTTCACAGCAGAACCATATACAATAGCCAAGACAACATAAATGTCCATCAACAGAGGAATGGATAAAGAAGATGTGGTACATATATACAATGGAATATCTTTCAGCCATCAAAAGGATGACATAATGCTATTTGCATCAACATGGGTGTGTTTACCTTTAAATTAGGAAGAGGGGGAGACAGAACAGAGTAGTCTCTGCCCCTCATGGGCCCATAGTCTGTTAGGGGAGATAATACACACATGCGTGCATACACACTTACTCACACGTGCCTCCCTCACATGTGCACACACACACCCTCATCACTCACACACAGATGTGTGCACACGCATTCACTCACACTCTCATCCACCCTTGCACACAGAAGCTTGCACACAGACATACATTTAAGCACACATATTCTCCTCCATTCTCATCTGCCCTCACACACTGGTACAAGCACTCAGGCACACAGGCACGTGTAGACACACTCACACTTTTCAGTAATTAAAGACCTTTAGTTGCAGGGCTCAACAGAGGGAGAGAGACTAGTGTGTGAAGAATTAGCTTTGTTCTGACATATCTCTCAATCAAGCCACATTTGTAACCTGCTTCTGTGGCCCTTCTTCATCTCTCAAAGTCCTTTTTGCCCATGAAGCTTATTTGCAATGTTATTTATGACAATGACCAGAAACTAAATAACTCTACTTACAACTTTCAATAAAAAGTACAGGAACCAAAATCATGTTAGCCACTACAGCCTTAAATCAGCAGTTTCTGGTTGGCTGGATCTTCCCTGGAAGTCACAACATTATTTCATGAGAAATTTTCAAATTGGAATTTTGATACTCCTTGAAAATGCATATAGGTCTGTATTTGTGCCAAAACAAGTTTTAAAGAAATGTGGCAATATAAGAAAAATAAAGTAGCACAATCTTAAGAGGTAAGAATTACCTCCCTATATGGAAAAATTAAAGGTCTATAGCAAGGCCAGCACACAACTTCAAAATGTCTGATTAGGAAGCTTCTGAGTGCATCTGAATGGTATCACCATGCTGTGAAGAGGCCATCAGATAAAGAACAAGGAGGCTGAGCTCCTGGTTGTGGCTCCGGATGGAAGTTTTATAGAATTAAGCAAAGGAAAAGGCTTTACACTTCTTTATAAAGTGTAAAATTAGATTATCTCTGAAAATGTATTTTTTTCCCTCTAAAAATGCCAAAGTTTTACAATATGTAAAATACTAACCATTTTAGATACAAACTATTATACACAGAATGGATAAGCAACCTATTGATTAGCACAGGTAACTATATTCAATATCTTCTGATAAACTATAATGAAAAAGAACGTGTATATATATCTATACACACACACACACACGTGTATAACTAAAGTCACTGTGTGGTACAGCAGAAATTAACACAGCGTTATCAATGAAATACATTTTTAAAGAACGCGAACCATGCCGTAGCTCGGCCGTCTTTGCTGTCTGCCCCAGGTTCAGAAGCTGAGACCAAGCCTGTAGAAACAGACACACTTTCTCACAGAAGCAGCCGCCGGTGGCAGTCGCATTTCTCGCTGGTGTGTTTGGCAGCGAGGCCTTGGAGGGCGCCTGCTGTGTGCGAGAGAGAATGTCCCTGCCGGCTCTGCCCTCTCCTGAGCTTTGATCTCGGCTTTCTGGTGGGGGAAGCAGAACTCGGCCCTGCAAGATGTACTTCTGAAAAGTCTCCACGGAGGGGCAGCCCTCCACCACCGAGAACAGGCCCCGCGTGCCAGGAACACCGCCTGCCATTTCACAAACCCGAGGTGAGCAGCCTCTGACACGCTTCCCACCTGGCGGAGCCGAGTAACATCCTGACGGACCTGCTCAGTCTCAGGGTGGTCTCCTTCTGCCCAGGCTGTGCTGGGCACACCGGGTGTAGCCTCTGCACCCACTTCCTGCACCCCCAGGCCCTGCTTCAGGCCAGGCAGCACTTTTCCCTCGTGCCTGGAGGCAACTCAAGCCCCTGGCAGTCCCTTTCCTGGGAAAACAGGCACGTTCCCAAGTTTTCAAAGTGATATTCATCAGAAGCAACCTAGCCGTCCACCACAGGGCAATGACTGGATACATTAGGATCCATCTATCCTCTGAAATAATACAAAATCACTGAAAACAAGAACTTTGTGCTTTTCAATATCTGAAAAAAGTCTAAAATAGCTACGGGAGGAAAGTAGTACACTGAACCAAATGATTTCAGATCCGTAACTATACATTTCTAAGTATACACATATTCACAAATGAAGCTACTAGAACTATACCTCTGAAATTTACAATCAATATTACCTGCTTAATTTTTTTAATACACTCATTTTTAATACATTTAATGTATTTTTAGATACATTCATTTTTTATAATAAAAATAAATACATTTAAAAATACATTTTAGATACATTCCTTATTCATGAAAACATGCTTGGCTTTTATAATAAGATTTTTTTAAAAAAGAGTTTTGTTTTTTAAAGAGGAAAAGGATGAGTATGAGCTTTCCTTGTTCTAATGCCTGGCACACAACACGTGCGAACACACACAGAAAACCATGTGTAATGTTGTCGAACCGCTGGGAGATTCAGTGAGTGTCACCAGCATAGGGTTTTCAGTCAGCTCCTAAGGGCCAGAGGCTGAGCTGATGTTGGCAGTCAGGCCCTGCTTGCTGGGGGGAGATTTTTTCAATCTTACCCACTTGCAGGTATAGGAGAGGCTGCCAGGCACCCACCAAAATCCACTCACCCCTTCCTCCTTGGCATCTAGCTGCATACATTCTCCAGATAAGCCGTGTGACCGAGTTTCAGCCAATGGAAGTGAGGGAAGGCAGACGGGCCCTCTCCAGGTCCAGGCGTTGCCCGTAGAGACACCTCTGTGCCCTCCTCCTCTGCCCCTCCAACCATCAGCATACAAATACAACGTGGCTCGGGGACCATGGAGCCCCGAGAAGGACACCTGGGTTCCCGAGTGATGGTGTGGAAAACAGTCAGTGCTCTAGACTGATTATCCACCCAGGATTGATTTGTGAGGAGGAAACAAATTTGTGTTCAACTCCTGACACTGGGAAGTCTGTTGTCACAACTTACTCTCCCTAACACACCAGGCCTGCACATTTATTGTACCAACAGGCTGGATCCCACTCACTCAGATGCATCCGTTTCCTGTGATAAAAAAAAAAGCAGAGCTCATGCTCTTTTAGACAACTGATAGTGGCTTATGATCCAGGAAAAAATGGGCTAATAGAAATTAGATTTCATAGGGGAACAAAAGTCATCAGTGAGAACTGGGAACACATATAATTAATCCTAAAAACAAACTAATGCCTTTAAAGGAGTTTATTTAAGTTTCCATTTTCATTTTCAGTTTTCTGTGAGATTTGTGGATCTTTTTCTCTCTTTTTAACTGGAGTTAGCAGAGTAAGGAAACTTTTATTCAGCTGTACTTGGGGGAAATATTTGGGAAAAGTATTCAAGAACTCAGGAATACTGGCAGATGGCCTCAGAGATCTTCTGACCCATGTCCTCCTTTTCAGACAAGAAGTTCAGACCCAGGACCTTGCCAGAGCCTACAGATGGTGACTTCAGGGCCAGCGATCACCTCTTGTGGCGGCCAACGCCTGTATCTTCTACTGCAGTAGGGCTCCCATTGGGGCGAAGCAGAAAGCAGTGCAGTCACATTGGAAAGCACAAGCTCTTTGAAATCAAACACACATGTGTTCGCATCTCACTACACCATGCACCAGCTCTGTGACCCTGGGCAAGTTCCTTACCCTTTCTGAGCCTTGAGACCTCTTTAGAAATTAGAGAGAAGGACTTCCACAATTACTCACTCATTTGCATGTTCACTCAACATTTAAAGATGAGTATTATTTGCCAAGAGCGGTGATAGGCTCTAGAGTGCTAGAGTGATGCTAGAGTGGTGAATGGTGGATATACAAGAGACACAAGACCTCCAGTTTCATGAAGCTTTAAGCTGGTTGTGAAAACATCTAGACAGAGCCTGCTGAACATCACCATTCATTAATGGCTACTGTTGTTAGCATTCTTTCAGGACTCCCTCACCTGCCTGGTTGTTCTGGATACTTTTGCTTGGTGTAGGCCTCGAGGGTGGCATAGACCTTCTCTCGCAGAGTCTCTACCTCGGACGGGTTGGAGAGACCCTTGGCATCTGAAAAAGACAGCCGATCAAACCTCTGGTTACACACCTCTGTGGAACACCCTGTTAGAGAGGCTGTCCCCATTCATATAGGCCACATCCTTAGGGTAACTGGAGACAGACGGGATGAGGGGCATTGTGAAATACACAGAGCTGCTGCTTTGCGCCTGCCAATCTACCCAATGAACTCCTGAAGCAAAGGTACCCACCGCTGACTGCAAGGAGGAGAGTCTCCTTTTATCTGGGCCATCGTACATATACTACCTTTACACATTCATTGAGTGTTTACTCTGTGCTAAGTGTGGGCTGAATGAAAAGACAGGGAACAAAAACCGGACATACCTATGCCCTGCTTCAACTAACTGATCACCTAATTCAGAGATGAAGTGCATGCATCAGTTACTAGGTAAGTCTGAACACTCATCTTTCCTGACCCATGGCAGCCTCTGGTGAAAGCTGAGCTCTTGCTCCTCCTTGCAATGCTTTTCCTCCTTGAGCCCCCAGGACATCATTCTCTGGTTCTTCCCTGTCTGACCCACTGCTCCCTCGCAGGCACCTTTGCTGTTTCTTCCTTTTCTCCACAACTTCGAAATGTGGCCATGCCCCAGGACCCAGTCCTCAGCCCTTTGCTCTGCCTCCGCTTACACTCCGGATGAGCTCGCACCAGCCTCAGAGCTCTCCACGCTAGGTATAGGCAGACAGCTCTCAAATGTACATCTCTGGTGCTGCCCCTCCCCTGAACTCCAGAATCACATGAATAATTGCTTCCTGGACAGCCACTCTTGGGCATTTACATCCATCTCAGAGTTTCACATCCAAAGACCTGCTTCCTAGCCACCCACCCTTAGAACCTACATTCCAGTCAACGAAAATTGTTTTCCAATTGTTCAGGAAAACAAAAATATTTAATGCCTCTCTTTCATATCCTATGTACAATACATCAACAAAATCCCATAAGTTCTGCCAAAAAATATATGCAGAACCTGAGTTCTATTATTTTTTTTTTTTTGCACGGAAATAGTTTATTTGAGGCAGTGACCCAGGGAAGAGGAAGGAGGGACCAAAAAAGGAAAAAGCAGGGAAGGAAGAAAAGCCGACACATGAGTACATAACTGGACTGATCATGGCCATGGGCAACTGGGACTCAGTCTCACAGGGACCCTCTAAGGAGGTATGTAGAATGTACCTCAGGATTGTCCACCTAGGGAAGGAAGATGGAAGCACGTATTTATTCACTAGTTTCTGTCACCCCTGGGAGACCTGACCACTTCTTACCACCTCCTTTACTACCCTAGGCCTCTGTCATCTCCCACCTTCCCCACTGACCCCCAACGTGCACACTCCACGCCCATTTGAGACACTTTTCAAGATGGCTCAAGGAGCAGAGGCCATGCAGAGGTGACCCTGTCCTCCCCACGGGCAGGTCCCCTGGCCCTGCCTTCTCCCCTCTCTGTCTCCGCTGAGCTAGAGGGCCAAAGAACATCAGAGCACTGGGGGCTGACCATGGCGGGGGGCCAAGCAAGACGCCGTCACCTGGGTTAAACAGCACGATGGCTCGCAGGCACCCCAGCTCTGACTTATCCATCTGCATGTCCTTCATTTTGGAGACCAGCTCAGTCAGAACTCTGTTCACAGGAAACAATGACAGGGAATGAGAAAAGCATGAGCACCAGACCAAAGGCTGGGAAAATGAATGCAATCAATATTTATTATGTACCACCACCACCACCCCCACATTTTCCAGTCAATGCGCCAGGTACTGGGGGCACAGAAATGAATCAGACGCAGTCCCTGATCTCAAGGAGCTCAGAGTTTAACTGAAGAAACAGACAGAAACAGCACATAGCAACAATGCCAAAGTCCCAGGGGACACCCAGGAGGAGGCGGCGAGCTCAGACAGGGGGCTGGAAAAGCAGCCTAGAGGCTTTGGAAGCTGGTAGAAATGCAACAGGTGAAGCACACCGAGGGCACCGCTTTTCGGGAAGAACACAGCGGAGGACGGCGATCCCTGACACAGAAGGAACCTGCATGCACCATCAGGAGGACTAAGGCCACTGAAAACCCCGTGTGGAACATGTGGGAAAAGGCAGGGAAGGAGGAGCGGTGTCTTAGATGGACATGCACACGGCCCTGGAAGACCGTTTATGTTGGGGCTGGGAAGGGACCACAGGTCCCCGGCATTGGGTAGAGAGACCATCTTCCAGCTCACCCTTCCCTTTTCTAGCACATCTCCATCCTGTCTCCCCAAGTCATGCATCTCTACTCATTTCTCATTGCCTTAAATCACCTGGCTTAATTTCCCTGAGGGCACAGAATCCCAGACTGAGGCCATTGCTCCCTCAGCGGGCTTGCCCCAGAGAACCTGATGCAGAGTCCAGCAAAAACCCTAGCTTACCTTTCCTGGACTCCTAAAGTCAGATTCTAAGCCTTCATTCCTGTCTCAGCTCTCCAGGATAAACAGTTCAAACTCCCCACCCCTACTTATCCTTCAGTCATGTCCAACTCCAGAGACTGTAGGCCACCAGGCTCCTGTGTCCATGGGATTTTCCAGGCATGAATACTGAAATGGGTTGCCATTTCCTTCTCCAGGGGCTCTTCCTGACCCAGGAATAGAACCCAGGCCTCCTGCATTGCAGGCAGATTCTTTACTGACTGAGCTACGAAGCAAGTCCAATCTTACCAAGTAATGTCAGTAACACCGTCTCTTCCTTGGAAACCCATAGGTTTTCATCTGCTAATAACTTTGTTGGCCTCTGACTGGCTCTGTCTCCTTGAATCAACATTTTTTAAAATCACTTTCTCATTCCCCAGGTTTATGTTTTCATATGCTTAATGGTCTCTGCTTCCAGCCATATGTGTACAGCTGATTGAGCTATCCATTCTAAACGCACACATGTACACACACACATGCTGGAAGCAGAAGAGACGCACCTGTCGAAGATGGAGCCAACTCCAGCACTGTGGGCGCTGCTTCGGTGGACGTGCAGTCCCGTGGCCAGGAGGATGCCGTCCTGCACAGAGACGGAGCGGTGGGAGAAGGAGGCGATCAGCAGCTCGTTCCACCCTGCAAGGATAAGAAGGTGGCCTTGAGGGAGGCCTGCCACACTCGCGCTTCATGGATAGCCATCCAAGGCGGGCATTATTATCCTTTGGAATAAAAGTAGAATCAGAATCCAGTTCCAGACAATACTGCTACTTAGTGAAGGAACAAACGATAAGACGGGGGTCTCCGGACCTGGGGCTATGCCCACCCCAGGCTCCCCGTGTGCTGCGTAGAATGGTAGCTTGAGAACAAGGCTCTTTATTCCCCAGTCCATCAACAGATATGGACTGAACACTTAACGGGTAATAGTCACTATGTTAGCTGCCGTGGTGGATAAAGCAAGCATACCTTGCAGTCTCTGCCCCCAGGACCTGACAACTTAGTTTTATTTCTTTGGCGTTGTCTAGTATGGGCTGCCGTCTATGGGGTCACACAGAGTTGGACACGACTGACGTGACTTAGCAGGAGCAGCAGCAGTGTCACCCAGCATGGCATGACGCTTTCCACTTACACTCAGGGATCGCTCATTATTTGATAGGAATGAAATGAGTGCACTGGCTTCCAAGGTCAGCCAATCTTCATGAAATTTCTCTGCTCGCTCCGTGACAAAGAGGAGCTTTGGCATATGTCAACTGCCAGTGTCCCAGAAATGGGACGTGAGAGAAATTACAGCATGCAGAATATTAAAATAGGAAGGGACCCTGGAATCCATCTAGTACCAGACTGAGCAAAAATCTTTGGCTTCCCTTACTTCATCTGTGAAATGGGAATATCTCTATTTTCCAATTTCATAATAATAATGAGGCAGAGCTTCAGATTATCTTCAGTAAAAACTATTTAACTCTCTTTGAAAATTGAATGCAAATTATAAAGGCTGTGTAACATTTGCATGGAAAAATAGTTCTTTTCTGGTCACTATAAGGATTCTAGGAAGCAGTTTAAGAAACCCAATGGACAGAAAAGTCTCTGCTTCTTACTAACTTGCCTCTTTTTGAAGTGCTATATGTGTGTTTAAAAGTTATTTTTCTCTGATAATAAAATGCATGTAGAAACTAATACAAATTTCATCGTGTAAAAAAAAAATTAAATATCAAAAAAAGAAAAAGTCTTATTCCTCCACTAACAAACTGTTTTGTTTGGGAATGAAAAGTTTGGGAGAGGGCCATCCAAATTTAAGAGACTGTAAGTAATATAAAAAAGAACAATCTCACCTAGGGTTATCCTCTCTCAACAAGATATACCAGCTTGGAGGGGTCCAACTCCATCAGGTCACTTGTTTTAGAATCCCAAGGGCAAAATGGCAACCCAAGTGCTTGCCCCAAGAAGAAAGGATCCTTGGTATCACTTACCTGCCCGGAGCAGAATGACTTGGTCCTCCAAGGTGAGGTCAGAGAAGTGGGGTATACGCTTGGCCCATTCAACGAGAGTAAAAAGCTGCTTATCGGCAGCATGGCATATATTGGTGACAGGGTCGTTAGTCTAAAAAAGGAACAGAGTAATCTGAAGGGACAGAATCTAAGACTCAAACAAACCCCTTGCCCATGTCTAGCCCCATCTAAGATATGGCAGCTGGATGGAGATCTAAGAGCACCTACCGAATTTTCCGTGTTCATGTCACCATAGGATTCTGTCTTTGGTTCGACAGCAAGCTCAGCCTCCAGAATCCTCTCCACGGGCATGTCTTCGTGGCCACTGCTGGCACACTCTGCCTCACTCTCAGCCCGCTCCCGGCTTCTCTGCCTTTCTTCCTGCACAGCTGGTAAGGACAAGGATGTGCAGACGTTACCACGTGCCCAGGACAACAGTGGGAAATTGAGTTGCCTCCCCAAGCCTCCATTTCCTCACCTGCAAAATGGACACCATCATGGTAGTGAATCAGGACATTGTCCTTTAACAGATGAAACCAAGAAAGCAGAGTGTTTGCTTATGCCTGTGCACAACTGTGGGTTTTTTAGTCCATATTCCTTCCAGTTCATTATGGTGACCTCTCTAAGAAGTATGCATTTTAAGCTTTAATTATCTCCAATTTTCTTTCTTTAAATGAACCACTATCTCCTTGCATGCTGTATTCCATGTCCTTCCTCCACCGGCTACCTCTAATAAACTATGAGCATGCAATAGTTAAGTAACAAGCACATTACTCTAAAAACTCCGTCTGTCAGATCTTATGCATCATCCTTGGCATTCACGTCCCATTAGGTCTGCCCCTAGTGCACCAGCCTGAACACAACATCACCTGATCTGACTTGTCAGGGAAGATCTTTAGGGAGCCATGCAGGCATTTAGTAAGCAGAAAGGTGGAGGAATGTCACCTAGATGACATTTCAGAATCAGTAGATGATTTAGGGGGTGAGGAAGGGTACACAGGCAGGGGTGGAGGCTGGAATTTTCTCAGATTCTAGGGTTTTCATCTAGAACCTTCTGGGTCTGTACATGAGAATGTCAGCCAGACCCCTTCCCCAACTCTGTCTTCTTCATTGGGAGGACAGTCTCTATGGGGTTAGTTTCCATTTTCTCAAAAGCTTTAGTTTTCATCTTATTCCCAGTAGCAATAAACAGAATTCAACATTAGCATACATCTTTTTAAATCCCAAGAATCAAGAAAATTATACTCTAAACAGTGGCTAAGTGGGACCTCAGTGATAACTACTCCATCAGAGATTTCTACGTCTCACCCCCTCTCCTTCCCTCCCCATCATCCACTTTCCCAGGCACCTCCTACTCTCTGAGGGCAGAAGGAGCTACAGAGAGTGCAGAATGAACTGGGACCGGATGCTGGACATTTAGTTTCTCACGCAAGGGGTATTAGCGATCTGTCAAAGTAGGTCAGAAAAGGGCCTGCCTCACAGACACAGCTGATCACGTCACAGTCTCGGACAGAGGCGCGCCAAGAGGCCTCAAGATGAGAATGATACTCAGGGGGTGAGAAGGAAGGAAGCAGTAAAGGAAGAAAAGGAAGAGAGATTAAAGCAAGGGACTGAGAAAAAGGAGAAACAGGAGAGAAAGAGGACAAAGATGAGAAAATAGCAGAAGAGCAAAAATCATGTACTGGGAGTCAAATCTTTTTCAAAATGGGCCTGACCATTTCCTAGCCAGCAGCATCAGACATGTTACTCAGCCTACAAAGCCTCAGCCTCCCTGTATGTAAGGTGGGGCTTGTAGTACTTACTCTAGATTGTTTTCTGAAGATTGAATGAAGTAATAATTTAAAAGTTAAAAAAGTAGCAACTTCCCTCCCCTTGGTCTCTCTGCACTCTTGGACTCTGCTCTGGTCCTCTCTCCATCCCCTCTTTGGACCTCTTCGTCTCTCTCCTTGTTTCTCTTTCCCCTCCTTCTTTCTTTCTGTCCATTCTGGTAGCCTTCATTCACTGACGATGTACAGAAACTCTCATATGTGTCTTTATATTCAGTTGGATTTGCTGGTTAAAGTTGAATGCTTCTTGTATTAATTTTTTAACACAGGTTAATGGGCTTCTATTTGCCTTAATTTGAAAAGATGGGGAAAGCAATAGAAGTTGCTTTTGTGGTCCTCAATTGATTTCTTCTATAGATTTGTAACAGTCAAGGAAAATAACTTTCAAACTTCAAAGAAAATAACCTTAGCTTCAGGGAATTATATCCTAATTCCAATTCTGTCATTAATTGAGTGATTCCTTTTCTATTCACTCCTCTTTTTTTGTGCCATGAATCTTACTGTCGTCAATAGGAGTCCAGTATCTCTGGTTGGAGGGAAATTCGCTATGGACAGACATTTTGAGCTACTGCGACTTCATACCTCAGGCTACATTTAGGGGACAGTGGGATCTAAAACAGGATTATTCTTTAGTCCAACATGTATCTATTGGGATGTACTAAAATAGCCAAAATTTATCAAGCTCTTTCTCTGTATCAGAACTGTGCTCAACATTTTCCATAGACTACATGTCATTTAACCCTCTGAAGAGCTATCAACCACAGAGAAGTTAGGTGACCTACCTAAGGTCTCAGAGCTAGAAAATAATGAAGCTAGCATTGTAGACAGACCCAGGCTGGCTGTCTCCTGAGCCTCCGTCTAGCCCCTCTTTACTACCTTCAGGACTGTAGGCTGGTTGGATTAATAAATCCACAGGGATATCAAATGCTGCCTAAATTGCCTGAAAATAATCCATTCTCTTACTACCCAAACCACATTTTATGACTCAGAATTGTGGAAACAGACTACCCCAGAGCCCTGAGGATTGTTTGGTGGCCTGGATACCAGAGGGTCCCAGTCCTACAGCTGCTCTGCCACTAGCTTGCTATGTAAGCTTAGGCAAGACTCTGGCCTCTCAGAACGTCCGCTTCTTCATTCAGAAAATAAATGTGTTATATCAGACAACAGCAAATGTCCATTCCAGCTTCACCCCAGTATGTACCCTGATCCCAGACAGGTGACTTCTGAGCCCACCCCAGTTTTATCTCTTTCTATCTGTCCAACTCTCTAGTAATATAAATTCCATAGTATCACTCAGTTATCTGTTCCAGAATTTCATTATTCCTGCCCACAAGAAGGTGCATGAACGGAGCCCTAAATTCTGCAAATAAAGACCAGAAATGATAGTGGCACAGGGAAGGCTGTCCAGTCACTTTTAAAAAGTGACATTTCATATAGTGAGATGAGGAATTGATTTCATTTCTTTGCCTTCTCTTTGTCAGGGTAAATAGTATGAATTCCTTTAGTAATTTCCCAAAGAGCCCTTTTCCACTCCTAAGTTTTAATGATTCAGCTTTTCATCACTCTTCTTTCACCACATTTTTTTAAATTCAGGAACCAAAACTGGACCCAATTTTCTAGTAATGAATCAGAATACTAGGTTTAAAAGAACCTAGAGACTATTATACAGAGTGAAGTAAGTCAGAAAGAAAAAGACAAATACCATACATTAATGCACATATATGGAATTGAGAAAGATGGTATCAACGACCCTATATGCAAGGCAGCAAAGGAGACACAGACGTAAAGAACAGACCTTTGGACTCAGGGGGAGAAGAGCGTGGAATGATTTGAGAGAATAGCATTGAAACATATACATTACCATGTGAAAAACAGATGGTCAGTGCAAGTTTGATGCATGAAACAGGACATCCAAAGTCAGTGCTCTGGGAGAACATAGAGGGATAGGGTGGGGAGGAAGCAGGGAGGAGGGTTCAGGATGGGGGGGACACATGTGTACCAATGGCCAATTCATGCTGATGGGTGGCAAAAACCATCACGATATTGTAAAGTAATTATCCTCCAATTAAAATAAATATATATATATTTAAAACAGGACAGCCCAGGCTGTTATAATCCACATGTCCCTGTTTGACTTACATTTTAAAATAAAGAACCACATTTCCCATAATTTTCTCCGTGAACCACTCTGACCCTAATTGAGCCGGAAATATTCAGGTTGAGTTTTGAGAGACAGAATTAGACTGTGAAGCAATAGAGTCGAATATAGATGATTCTCAGTCAGTAGCAATCACACTCTATGCTGACGGGAGACACACTTCGGGGTCATTAATTTAATGTTTTGACTATCACAGTGGTGGGAGCTACAAAGAGTGAGTATCAGTTCTATCCTGGGGAAGAGAAGACAGTCTCTACCATCTGATTTTTCGCATCACATGTTCCAGTCTAGAAAATCGTTGACCCCTCTACAGCAAGTATGACACAAACATAAAGTAGACACCCGGTTAATACATGATGAATGAATGACTGAGCAAATGAATCATTTGGAAGCACCTGAATTACTAAAACATCTGACTCCAATATTTAGTTTAAACCACTCATCGATTCTCTCAACAAATATTTCCTAAATATCTACTATGTGCTAGTCCCTGGTGATACAGCAGTGGGGGGTAGGGAGGCAGGAAAAATACCCCTGCCTTTTTGGAGACAGGCAGTAGACAAAATTTAAATATGTATTATATAGTAATAAATGCTGTAGGAAATAAACTGGGAAGTATTGGGGGGGGGTTGATGTGATTTGAGTCAGTGTAGTCAGGCAAAACTTTCAGAAGTTGACAAGTAAAGATATGAAGAAGTGAGCCATGCAAACACCCGGGAGAGGGCAGTCTGAGCAGACAGAACAGTAAGTGTAAAGCCCTGAGGCTGGAGCAGAAAGACAGGGGTAGCCGGACCATGTACAGACTTGAAGTCATAACCAGGATTCTGCCTTTTTTTTTGAGTAAGAAGTGAAGGCACTAGAGGGTTTTGATGAAAGAAAGACTTCACCTGACTCACTTGTTCAAAGACTCACTCTGGTTGCTTTGATAATGAGAGACTGAAGGAAGATAAAGATGGAAGCAGGCAAACTTCTTAAGAGGCTATTTGTATTATTACAAAAAAAAAAAACAACAGTGGCTTGGCAATAACAGTAAAAATGGTGAGACACAGAAAGATTCTTAACATATTTTGAGAAAGAGACAAGATTTCCTCACCCATTGAATGTGGTGCATGAAAAAAAAGAGGTGTTCAATGAATTTTGATCTGAGTAGCTGAAAAATGGCTATTTCCTAAAATGGGGAGAACCATATGGTGAACAGGCTGAGGGGCAGATTTGGGTCTGTCAATCTGAGATTCTTGATAGATATCAGAGTGAGAGTCCATCCTTAGCTCCATAGTTCCTTCTTGCCCTGGTTGGAGAAGAGATGTGTGATGAGCTCTGACCTGGAAGTAAGAAGTTCCAGTCTCTGTGTATCACCTATCCTTGGGACCTTGGGAAACTCACGCCACCAATCTAAGTCTATTTCCTCAGCTATAGAATGGTTAGGTAAAGAATCTGCCTGCAATGCAGGAGACCCAGGTCCAATCCTGGGTTGGGAAGATCCCCTGGAGAAGGGAATGGCTACCCACACCAGTATTCTTGCCTGGAGAATTTCATGGACAGAAGACCCTAGTGGGCTACAGTCCATGGGGTCGCAAAGAGTTGGATACAAGTCAGTGACTAACACTTTCACTTTCAGAATGGTTAGGGTTATTAAGTTATTCTTAAGGGCCACCTCCATCCCAAACATTCTAAGAATGCCATTTTTTCCTTGTTGGTAGGATTCTCTCCTACAAAGGATCCAAACCCTTTTTTCACTGGTCCTTTTAGCCAGCCTCCCCCCTCCTCATAGAAAAGAAGTTCTTTAAGAATAGTCACCTGGGAGATACAAAAACGCCTTGTTCCCATTTCTCTGAGAGAGAGAGACAAGACCTCTTGATTCTTAAATCTATTAAGATTTACCATTTACAGCCTGTACCTCTTGAGTTCACTAGCTAATTAACTTCTTGATTTGATTTATCTGTGTTACTTAATGGAAAGACTTTTTGATCTTGTAAATAAACAGACAGCACGTTCATATTTTCTCCCTACAACAACCCAGCTAACCTAACCTGTAAATTTGAAAGATGTAACACTTTAAAAGTACACAATGATGATCCCTCTGAATGAGAAGGCTGTCTGATCATTGGTAATGCCAATAATCCCTAAAGATTTTGGAATACACCAATCTCAGAGGATTTATAGCAGACCAAGGTCATAAAAGCCCAGAGAGATTAATCAAACCAGCAGGCTTCCCCAGGGTGAGGATTAGAGGGGATAGTCATCTGTGCCCAGAAGGTCAGTCTGATGCTCCATGGTAGGCCAGCACCCTGAGACCTCAGCTCTAACACTGCCTGGATATTGGAAGAGAAAGAGAGAAGTCCCTTTTGGACCATCATCTGAGGTCCAGGACAGGTGAGAATGGTGAAGGAAGATGCTCCTGCTCGCTTTGCTTAGGGATACATGCTTACCAGGGCAGGAGGCATTCAATTGCAGCACTTGAGAAATCATGGTACCCAAAGTCATTCCCTCCTCCTCTTCAAACTTGTTCACATAGTCCAGCCTAGCAGGACTCTGTCCTACGTCCTGCACTTGCTTCCATTATGTATATGCAAACTGCTGTCTCCCCTGAGCGGAGAGCAGGGTGGCGGGAAGCCTTACCTTCCCTCTTCATGCCCATGACCAGGCACTTCTGATAGCGGCAGTACTGACAGCGGTTGCGCTGACGCTTGTCGATGAGGCAGTCCTTGTTATCCCGGCACGTGTAGATGAGGTCTTTCCTTATGGTTCTCTTGAAGAAGCCTTTGCAGCCTTCACAACTGTACACACCATAGTGCTTTCCTGGCCCCAAGAGAAGGACATTCCGCAAGTTGTTCTTGTGTTTATCTGGGTCTTTCATTCAAAAGAACCTCTGGGCTCTCCCCAGAAAAACTAGCACCTCGCCTCGGCAATGGGAACAAAGGCGAAGAATAACTACCACAGAATGCAAGCCTGATGACTGGAACCAAACCAAGGCAAAGTAAATATGCCCTTTCTCGTGTCCACCCTCTAGAAGCAATTCTCTGGAGTCACTAATTCCAGAGAATGTTATTAAAAACATCCTGACCTAAGACTTCGCTTCCATTTATTTAATAGAGCAATTCTTATGTTTAGTTAAGCAAAGTGTTCTGCCTTCATTCAAGACATTAGTGTACATAAAAAATAAAAATATTTATGATTGTTATGTATTATCTAGCAGGAAAACAACCTCAGTTTCACTCATATTTCTCCGTAACTGAAGTCCAAGGACTTAAGAATCTCACTTAGAACTATTATGCTTTATAATAAACTACATGCAAGAAACTAAATTACAAATTTTTCAAATATTATTGCCTATCAGAGGAATAAACTGTTACATGATCTTTACAGCACAACATGACATGTAATCTTGAGACGTGACAAGAAGATCTGGTGGAAGGTGGTTTTACTTGGTCCAGGATAATCTGTTACCTGTTACATTGCCCTTATTACCTGTCCCACACCTCCAGTTTTTCATGACCCCAGCCAAAGATGGCTTATTTGTGTCAGAAGGGCCACCTCACACATGACCACACAGGCATCAAGAATCAGTCACCATGGACTTCCTGGGTGGCCCAGTGGCTTAAGACTCTGTACCCCGATTGCAAGGGGTTCGGGTTCAATACCTGGTCAGGGAGCTAGATCCCATATGCTGCAACTAAAAAAAGATCCTGCATACCACAACTAAAAAGACCCCACATGCCCAATTAAGACCCAGCACACCCAAAGAAAGAAATATTTTTAAAAAGGAGTGTCTCTAGGTAGGCGTCTTCCCAATACGACACACCAGGCAGCTGCACTCAGTTGTGAAATTGTGAGACTTGAACAATATAATGAGACAAATTATGCAAAACAAATTTAAGTCTGATTCTTGAGAGTGACACGTGATGCAGTTTAGCTATAGACCTGATATGACTTTCTAATCTGGTGAATCTGAAGTCCCTGAGAACTAACCAATGTTAATATCTGGATCCCAGGAGCTTATATTTCATAAGAAGCCACTTCAAGGTGCAATGGTGGCTAGAGATAGCCTGCTTGAGGAAGTTAGTCTGTGTCTAATCAGCTGACTACACCGATTTACTGAACTCATAGAACAACAAATAATGCTCTCAGCTGTGAAGTATTTGTCATTAAGAACTTACCATTTCCATGGTTCTCCCATATATGAATGAACCGCCCAACTTCAATTAAACCATAGCAGAAAAAACTCTATCAGGGTGTGGCTGGAGTTCTGTTGCTATGGCAATGGCCAAATCTGCACAATTTGGGAACAGCGTTTTGAGAACAAGCAAACACTAGTCATGTAGCTAAGTTCCAGGCACTGGGAACTTTCAGTGGAGGGACAGTTTGCAGCGACTTCAGTGGCAATAAAAAGCAGAGAAAATATTGTCAGCCAGCATACACAGACATAGAAATCTTCCTCGGCTTCTCTTTCATCAAATCAGAGATTCAGTTATCATCAAAATTGTTGATATGGGGAGTAGAGGGGCCGGAATTTTGGAGAGGTAGGGAAAGAAGTCAGGAAAGAAATAATTCGGGCAAAAGTGGAAGAAGATAAAGAGAATAAAATCAGGGAAAACAACAGTTTCCACCCAGGGAAACATGTTAAAAGCCTAGAAGGTTGTAGAAGGAAATTTGCCAAAACATCAAAGGATTTCTCTTTGTTGGGAACATTATAGATAACTTTTTTAGTTTTCACTGATAACTTTCTAGTTCTCCCATATTTTGTACATTAAGATATTATTTTTAGAATTATAAAAATAATTTTTTAAAAATTAAAGAGACTCTAGATTGAAATACTTGCTCATCACAACCGTTTCTTTATCCCAAATACACATGGAACACAGTAACTCCAGAGAAGCTTCCTGAAATGTTTCTTATAAATCTAACCACCTAAAGTGAAGGCAAGCTTTAAATTCATCAAGACTGTGGTGACAGAAATCTACAGCCTGGGCCCCAACTTGGATCATCCTCAAGGACTTTTTTTCTCATTGGGTACAAAGAAGCCAAGTGGGACGTAGAACAGGTGTCTTCTCTGGGACCCCCTTGCATGGGGCACTTGGGAGAAGTGTCTTCCTCTGTACATACCTGAGGATCTGTCCCCACAGATGGCGCAGATGTGTTTAACCAGAGATCCTGGGCTGGTGGATGGGTAGTTCATGTTTCCAATGCCAGGAAGCCCTGGTAAGGGCTTGATGTCCTCTGAAATGCTGACACTGTTGACCACATTTAGCTTCAAAAAAAAAAAAAAAAGATACAATAAAACACAGGGCCAGAGTAAACCCAACCCCCAAGGCAGAAACTAACAAAGCCTTCCTTGGGGAAAAAAGCAGGTTCTCTTTCAAGAAGTAGTTTCCGAATACAGAGTATCTAAAATTGCCTATGAAGGATGTGAATTTAAGGGAGAAAAAGAGTAACATAGAGGAACTAAGTCATTTCTAAATGCCAAAACCTAAACTGAAAATCACAACACATCTACATCAGAGCTCTCAACGTTAACTCATTTTACTCATGTTTTATTTGAGCTAGAAATCCACACTGAACAGCACACTTAAGACGTCTGTGTATTTCTAAATTTTTTATTAGCTACCTCTTGCCTATTCAGCAGTGCTCCAAGAGGAGATACGGCCCTCAGGCAAGACTTAGATTCTGAAAGAACCAAGCAAAATATGCAAATCCATTTGTTTAGTGAATCAACAGAATTCAAGCGCTCATTATGTCAGGCATCAAGCCAGGCTCTGTAGCACAAAGGTAAATAAAATGCACATTTAAGGTGTTTGCAGTAAAATGGAAGAGGAGATAATGTGTAGTGGTCATCTCAGTGAACCTACTCAAGACATTAAGCCAAATGCCCACATCATTGCAGTAGCACTAAAAATGAGCTTAAAAGCCCCTGATCATACTTTTGAACTTGTCTATAAGGGAAAAAACAACCTCCATGAAAATATAAAATCTTTTGCACCAAAGACAAGCACTACCTGACATCAACCCAGCACATGGTAGTGTGGTAGGAGAAAGACGGGCCTCTGGGCTGGACAGCTGGCGTTTGTCAAGTGGGGTAGAAATCAAGCTTGTTCTCACTCAGGCTCCAAGGACAAAGCTATGGCAAAAGCTCAATTCCGCTAAAGTAGAGAGGTAAGGTGCTCACTCTTGAGATCAAGGAAGACTTCCCTGTCTGCACATGTGCAGGAAGGCTCCTTGGGGTCAAAAAGGGAGGGGAATCCATGGGTCCCATGCCATAAAAAGTGTGAACATACACCCACAGCCCTCTGCAGTGGGATCCATCTTAGCAAAATGTTGCAAACACATCTTGGGAAGGGTCCTAGGAACAGTCAGATATGAAGAAAGTAACAAGATCATTGGCCAGGGTAAACAAAGACAAGCTTCCCCGGTGGCTCTAGTGGTAAAGAATCATCCTGCCAATGCAGGAGACAGGAGAGATGCCAGTTCAATTCCTGGGTCAGGAAGATCCCCTGCAGGAGGAAATGGCACCTCACGCCAGTATTCTTGCTAGAAGAATCCCTTGAACAGAGGAGCCTGGCTGGCTTCCGTCCATAAGGTCGCAAAGAGTCAGACATGACCGAGCATCTGAGCATACACGCAAAGACCCAGAAGGACAGCCCTACATAAGTGATTTAAATCACCTCTTTACTGCTCTCCTGCTCATTCGGGATGCCCGCACTCCTCTCCGGGTGTGTATTTCTGCCTAGCTTCAGACTTCCTGTGCTCCTCCTCACTAGAGAGGATGCTCATACCCTTCTTTCTGGGTGTGTGTTTCTCCCTTACTTTTGTCTTAAATAAACTGTTTTTCTGTGTGCTCTCCCCTACATGTTCTGCTCTGTCTCTAATAAACTTTGTACCTATTTTTACAGCTCTTGCCTCCATGAAACATTCTTGCTTTCCAACAGGGGAAAGAGCCAGGGCCACTTTGCTTCTAACCTCTCGTCCCTGGTTGGCTAGGATTCCTGGTTTTCATCCAGGTTCAGTTCAGTTCAGTTCAGTCGCTCAGTTCTGTCCGACTCTTTGCGACCCCATGAATCGCAGCACTCCAGGCCTCCCTGTCCATCACCAACTCCCAGAGTTTACTCAAACTCATGTCCATCGGGTTCGTGATGCCATCCAAACATCTCATCCCCTGTTAGCCGGGTTCAATTCCTGGGCAGGGAGCTAAGATCTCTTTGTAAGATCACTCACTGCTGTCTCTCTGAGAAATCAGTAGGGAATTGGTAGAACTGAATGGCTCAAAAAAGGAACATTGTGAGATGCCTTTTCTCACCCCTTAGCACCAGTTAACATTAGCTCTTCACCACTACCAATTCCACGTCTCTTGGTGCGCTAATGGAGATGACTGAGAAGCCACTGCTACCTGTTTCCTATTCATCAGAGAAAAGCTAAATAAACATGAGTCCGTCATCCAGTCGGCAGCATTTCTGTACCCATGGGTACAGGTCAACATTCTAGACACTGTCAAGGGAGATATAACATCTAGATCTGTCTCTCATTCTTCAAAAATGGCCACAATCTCAGTGAGGAGTCAGAACACACACAAAAACTAAGAACACTTCCAAGTAAATTCAAAGAAAGGTGATGCTGAGTGCGCATGTGTTCAAGTGCCCAGCAGCAGCACCTGGTGAATACCTGGGGATTTTAGGGAGGGTCCACTGACTTTTGCACGGTCTATATGAATTCTGAATCACATTGCCTAACCAAAGTGACTGCAGCTCCCAAACTGAACCAAAGGTAGGAATTTCTTCTCTATTTAAGGCCTTTGAAACAGAAGAAATGATCAATAAAACATAAAATATAACAGAGCCTGAGTTAGGTTCCTTCAAAATTTACTATCTTTTCAATTCACTAAACAAATATTTATTGAGCAGGAGGTGGGCAGAGGTTCTGGATTAAATGCTGTAAGGGATGCAAAAAAGAAAAGATAGCGTTCAGGGCCTTGCTTTGAAATCAAAGTCACCAGGAATTTTTAAAAATTAATTTGTGTGAGAGATGAAAACACATATGTGATGAGGGAATTCTCCCTCCTCTTCCTCCTCCTCCCTCCTTTTTGTACAAGGCTAAGACAAGATATCTAGAATTTATGTTCAGCATTTTTTTTTCTTTTGGTTTAATACAGTGGTTCTCATCACCGAATGTACTCCTGGGAGCTTTGGAAAAATTTAATTCCAAAGTCCCACGCCAAGAAATGGTCTGAGGGTCATTGGTGCTGGCATTTCTTTAAGTTGATCAGATAATGCTAATGGCAGTCCAGGGTTCTGAAACACTGATGTAGAGGAGAAAAGTTGCTTTGAAATCACACAGCCCTGGGATTGACTCCCCATCCGCCTTTATTAGCTGCATGACTTCAAAGAAGTCCTGGATTCCAGGTCAACATTCCTCCTTATTAATCTTCCTTGACCTCTGTCTCCTTGTCTGTAAAATGAACATAGTAATACCTAACTTACAGAATCACTGGGAGGACTAGATGAGATGATCATGTAAAATGTCTGTCACATTGCCTGGTACACAGTAGATGTTCCATAAATTGGAGCTATTATCATCCCAATAAAATCTGGTTAACTCAGATTTTGAATGTTTATTATGAACCAACATTCTGCTATGTGCTAGGAATTCTCAGCATCTCAAGGAAAGTTAGATCCATCCCACGAAATGGAAATATTTTAGAGAGCTCTCTAACTGACCTTTGTCTGCAAATCCTGAAATAGATAAGAAAGATCAAGGGAATAAGGAGGAAGACAATATCACCTGGGGCTCAGGAGACCCTCACCCACCTTCCCTTCCCACTCCCATCTCCAGTAGAACCAGCTCCACCCTCTCCAGTCTTCAGTGATCACAGAACAGTAATTATTGTTCGTGCTACTCAGTGCTACCGTCCAAGGAAAGTTTGCTCAGATCCAACTAACTCTTTTAACCCTCACAACAACCCTATGAGGTTTTCCTATTTTCCAGCTGAGGAAACTGAGCCATAAGGAGGTTCACTTATTCATTCACTCACAGGTCCTCCTGGGACGCAAAAGAGAAGGTGCGGGCACTGCCTCAGGAAACCGGTCGTCAGTGAGACAGAAAGCCGGCTGGGATAATTTAGGAGAGAAAGACCACAGGCAAGATTAGGGAAGATGTCTTGAAGGAAGGAGCATTTGATCTGGGACTTGACAACTTTTAAAAAAAGAATGGCATTTGAATGAGCCAGTGGGTGAAAGGTTTTGACAACAAGGGCCTGGAGAGAAACCCAACTATTTGTGTCCGGTGGATGTATGGGAGATAAGACCAAGAGGTGGGCTGTGACCAAGCCTGAGGCTTGATCGCCCAGGGAAAGCGAGTGGATTTAATCTGAGAGGCTATGAGGAGCCACGAGGTTTCCAGCAAAGGAATCAAGCCCTTAAAGTATGAGGCAGCAGCACAAGGAAAAGAAGGAGACACCCGAGGCCATTGCAGCTGCCCATGTACCGGGTTCGGAGAAGGCAATGGCACCCCACTCCAGTGCTCTTGCCTGGAGAATCCCAGGGACGGGGGGGCCTGGTGGGCTGCCGTCTATGGGGTGGCACAGAGTCAGACACGACTGAAGCCACTTAGCAGCAGCAGCAGCATGTACCAGGTTAGGCACCTTCCCAGATCTAACATGTTGAGCTTCTGGATCCCAGCTTATCATTCTTCCTTCCCCACCTTGCCTGTCTTGTGCAGCAGGAGCTCCCAGACCACCCCTGCCCTGGCTGCTTCCAGCCCCCACCTCATAGGCAATGAGCCCCCGGCAGAGTAGACTTGCATCTGGTCACTGTCTCCTGGCAGCCCCTCTCCAAAACCCTTCCCCTTCCTGGGTTGGATGGTGGTGGGAGGCAGTGGTGGGGACAAGTGGGTTGATAGCCTCTCCTCTGTCTGTCTCTTTGCTGGCTTGGGGTTTGTGTGGGCTAAGAGCAATGGTAGATGAGATTGAAGGCAGCCACCAGAACTCAAACCCATTAGCTGCCTGGTCCCAGTCCCACAGCTCCCCAGCTGTCTTGTTCCATTAGAAGCTGCTCTGCTGAAGTGAGCACTTCAGAGCTGGGATTTACCAGGCAGCTGGCTGCTCCTGAGAAAAAGGAGAGACACACACTTGGCTGACCTGTCTTCCATTTGCAGACTCTCAGCCAAGGACCGAATGCATCCTAGATGCCCTGGAGCCATCACCAAACATTGGGTCCCACATTTCTGAGCTGCTTTCAGCCTAAATTATTCCATTCAAGGCAG